AATATCATCTCTATATTACTATCGTACTAGTATTCTGTGTTTGATTCACTTACAATTGTGGCGCGAGTTACTGTAATGGTTTGGTTTTCTTTCTTCTGAAGATCCTCTGTTCATTTTGTCAAAGTGCACTCAGGCTGATTCAATTACTTTAGAACCACGCTTTGACGGAATAAATTATTTTTCTTATCCTCTTTTCTACTGTTAGTTTCACTTTAACATATTAAACGTTAGACCTATGTTAATCGTTAGGCCTATCACTTCTACGATAGTTAACTTCACGCCAACTTTATTCTCTTTCGCTATTATCTGTCTATTTTTGTCTGTTTGCTGCTTCCCGCTCGTCTCACGCTATTTATATCTTTATTACCTAATCGTCTGTTCGTTTTTTGTATTCTCGACACCAATTAGTTATTAACAAAACTTCCTACATTCGTCTGCTTTTAACTCTTATTATAACAAAACTTAAACAATAATAAAATATTCACTGACAAAAATAAATTAATCACTAATATCTAAACCAAACAGTCTTTTATATCATGACAGATATTAAATTGGATCAATGTCCCGATACTAAAACTAAAAGGATATTAAATTGGATCAATGTCCCGATGCTAAAACTAAAAGGCTATTAAATTCGATCAATGTCCCGATGCTAAAATTAAAAGGATATTAAATTGGTCAATGTCCCGATGCTAAAACTAAAAGGCTATTAAATTCGATCAATGTCCCGATGCTAAAACTAAAAGGATATTAAATTGGTCAATGTCCCGATGCTAAAACTAAAAGGCTATTAAATTCGATCAATGTCCCGATGCTAAAACTAAAAGGATATTAAATTCGATCAATGTCCCGATACTAAAACTAGTAAGATATTCAAATCTTATGTGAAATTTATGAAGAGGTATGAGGAAGACAAAAGTATTTGCTAAACACTCGACATGTTTGGGCCCCGGGTCTTCACGGTAAACTAAAATAGGTGTCATTTCCATGTTATTGTGTTGTATATACATTATTACAAATACACTAATTGGACTGGCTAACTAATACTAAAACAGACACTGAGGAAGGTGGTTTTGTAAACATGTAAAACTGAATTTATGAAATTTCAATTTTTACCCCATATGAAACATATGTTTGATTGTAATTTAGAAGATTAGCAATAACTCTCTTGTACGTGTTGTTTCATCTTGCACCATGTCTAGGTAAAGTTAGGTTTTTTACACGCAACAGGTAACACTGGATGTGCTGAACATCCGACAAAAATACATCCCAGACGTAATCTTGTCTGTGAATATAGAAGGATTTGACTGTATTGAATTTCTTGTGTTTTTTACATGGCCATCCCTTGTCGTAGCAAAATAATATCCATTGACAGTTTCAGATTTTATTGGGTCTAATTGTTTAAGTCGTTTAACCTTGCCATGGTGGTTTATAACACTTTTGGTTATAATTAGCGTGTAAAAGAGTACACTGAAAGTACTTTCGACTAACTTCGCTATTTCTTTATCTGCATCGTCTAGGCCTAAAGTTAACAAAATTATCAAAAATCATTAATTTAAAAAAGGGGGAAGAGGGATCTTCAAAAAATACAGAAACAAGAAAATTAGTTTAAAGTGAAAATTCAATCGCAAATATATATATATATATATTAAACAAACAAGCTTAAGCTTTGAGACGCAGTGTTAACATTATTTCCTCAAGCTACAAATCCCTATTTTGACTCCATGTCTAAAATATATAATATTGTTACTACGACGGAAGTCACGTGACGCTAGTAACACGTCATGAGATTCTAGAAGGATCGGGGAAACATCACGAATAATCCAGTATTTTCTAGGCGCCCTCTATTCTTGTATATAAGTGCGCCAGACAATTAATCGGGATTGAATTGCAGACAGGCAGAGATAGAGACGGACAATCGAGTTAAGCACGGTAGTAAGTAAAGTGTGTGAATCGTTCGTTGTGAATTATAGCGTGTGCTTAAGTTAAACTGATTGTGGAAATTAAGTGTATTGCAAAGTTGTATCGAGAAAGAATAAACTAGTTTTATTGAAGAAAGGACTTGTATCGCTGAAGTTTTTCGGAAGGAATTTTTACGGGAAATTAACAAACGACCAGAGACGTAACAATATTTAGGAGAGTCAAAATATGGACTTGTAGCTTCAGGAAATAATACCATATGTTATGGTATATGCTTGTAAAATATATATAGCTACTATATTTATACCCTGTAGTTATATGGGGAGTCTGTAAATACTGGTTTGAAGGGACTAGTGAACTATAGTGGAATGGTGCATGGACTGGATTTTGTAAACACGAGTTTAATATATGCATGCATATGCAATAAATGTTGAGTAGTATTTATATCTATGCCCCCCATTGGCGCAGCGGTATGTCTGCGGACTTACAACGCTAGAATCCGGGTTTCGATACCCGTGGTGGGCAGAGCACAGATAGCCCATTGTGTAGCTTTGTGCTTAATTATAAACAAACTTATATCTATATATACATGCAGCCTTTATAGGTTTTTGAAGTTGTAAAACTGTATATATATAGATAGCCATATGAATTTTTCAAGCTGTATAGATGCATGCATATATATTCAATACAAATATAAGACAATGTGTCATAATATGTATACGTATACAAATAAACATTATAATATTTCTTGTAATTGTTATATTTCCTCATTCCTCCTCATCCTCTCTACTGACCATTGTAAGGCCGGTCAGCTGGACAGATTTCCTGTTAGAGTGACATTTTGCATACTCTACAAGGTTGAAAACGTGTTAATTAACAATTATGAATTGATTATATTAATATACCCCCCCTCCCATCCGATTCTGATGGAGTTTGGGTTGTAACACTTCTACGACCCTCTTTCCCTGTGACTACCCTAAACTCTGGTGGTTCGTCGCTGCTGCATACTTTATCTGAAACTAAATATTTTTTGAATGAAATATATAGCTACAAAATTTCTCTCTCACTTTCACCTAGAATCGTCATCTTCTGCTTGGACGATTCTTGCCACTCCTTAAAGTCAGCTTCAAGAATAACGATTATATGTTATAGTTTTTGTCTATAGTTTCAGGGCATGTTGAAGCCTGACTACTCCTATACTAAGTTATAGTTTTTGTCTATAGTTTCAGGACATGTTGAAACCTGACTACTCCTATACTAAGTTATAGTTTTTGTCTATAGTTTCAGGACATGTTGAAGCCTGACTACTCCTATACTGTGTTATAGTTTTTGTCTATAGTTTCAGGACATGTTGAAGTCTGACTACTCCTATACTATGTTATAGTTTTTATCTATAGTTTCAGGACATGTTGAAACCTGGCTATTCCAGCACTGACTTGCTGGAAGTGGAACTTGTTAATAACAATCTTCCTGCTCGAGTAAGTACGATTTTTTTAACTGAGTTATAATCAAAGTGAGCTACTTATACAGACTTATAAAGATTAAGCTAAGAAATAATTTAGATAATTTTATATATACCATTCCAACTTAGAGTGTGAAAAGTCATGAGATGAAAACTTTTTTCATTAGGATACATCTAATTTCAGTCGGCTATCTTCGCTGTATGTGTGTGTATATTGTGTATATGCATCAGTCACATGATAAACCATATGCAGACGAGTTTAATTATTATTTCATTTAATACTGGCTACTTTTCATTTTATACCAGAATCTAAAGATGTCGTTCACTTCTCTTGGTATTTGTCTTTGACTTTTTTGTATTTTTAAAGGTAACTAATCAACCTGGTGGTCTACTATGAAAACATGATGTCTCTTTTACACAACTGCATTCCTAAAATTTATCATATGATAAAAAAAAATAATATGTAAATGACGTTAGAGAAAGTGAAATGTTGGAAACATTTGGAGAACTAAATTTTGAAATTACACACTTTCTGAATAAGCACCGGTGTTTTATGTGTAAAATATCTGAGTTAAAGTATGTAACAGTTTTGTATTTTTGTAACTTCAGGAGCCTGACGAAGATCTTCAAATGGTAAGTTTCTTTCAAGATAGATATTGTTGCTATGAAGAGCTACAAGCAATTACAAATACAATTACAAAATTATGATAAATTACATTCCCTGAATAACAGTCCTTTTCAGGACAAATATTTGCAATTAAGGTAAAATAATATAATCTTATGAAGTATGGTAACATTGTCCTTTGTAGTACCATCCGCCTATAGTAACACTATCCTATGAAGTACTCATTTATTGTTATACACAATACATAGAAATATAATCAACAAAAATAATAGTTTTACTGATAAGATATAAACATTGAGACGCCCTAAGATGAATTCATTATCCTATTATGTAACATTTATGTAATCCTCAGTTGTGTCTAATACGAAATAGTCGTGCAACCTCAGGCGGCATCCTTTGTATATTATGTAACAGTTGCATAACCCCAACTGAGGCAGTATCCTTTGGGCATAGGGTAGCGGGGGTAACTAGTTACAATATACACAAAACTGAAACAACAAAGTTTTTGTGGTTTTCTTCAAGGAATACAAGGTATATAAATCTGATTTTTCACAGGTTTTGTAGAATTATGTCATTGGATGCAATGTATAAAAACTGATAGAACCCAGTTTTTGTAACAACGTCTTTGGATAGAATTTATTTAAAACTGATGTAACAATTTTTGGATAGGATATATAGAAAACTAAAGTAATATTATTTGTTGTTTTACGCCTCTGGATAAAAATATACATAGGCGAAGTAACAGTTTTTGTGGTTTTACATCGTTATATACAATATGTGTAGAAAATTAAAGTAATACAGTGTTTATGTGGTTTTATTACGTACAACGTATAGGAAGCTGAAGTAATATAGTGTTTATGTGGTTTTATTAGGTACAACGTATAGGAAGCTGAAGTAATACAGTGTTTTTGTGGTTTTACATCGTTATATACAATGTGTTGAAAGCTAAAGTAATACAGTGTTTATGTGGTTTTATTACGTACAACGTATAGGAAGCTGGAGTAACAGTTTTTGTGGTTTTACATCGTTATATACAATGTGCAGAAAACTAAAGTAATACAGTGTTTATGTGGTTTTATTAGGTATAACGTATAGGAAGCTAAAGTAATACACTGTTTATGTGGTTTTATTAGGTATAGGAAGCTGAAGTAATACAGTGTTTTTGTGGTTTTACATCGTTATATACAATGTGCAGAAAACTAAAGTAATACAGTGTTTATGTGGTTTTATTAGGTATAACGTATAGGAAGCT